TTTTTTTTTTAATCCAAGGGCGGGAGGTCGAGGAAGAGGTGACAATGTTTTGAAATGGTGAAGATGGGAGGGGGGTAGGGGAGTGGCACTGCAAAATGTTTAGAACCCATGGTAAATAACTCGCAGATATTGAATATTTATTGAAGTAAACTTTATTCAAACATACAAACGAATCCACCGGCATGTGAGTATGATATCTTCATACAACACTTATTTAGCACTACCGTATGAGTATGATAATATTAATTCATGCAAAACTTATCAAGCATTACCAGCCGCCCCTCTCTCACATTAGCGTATGAAAACCTGCGTTTTTCCCACAGGACCTTAAGCATCCATCAACATTTCAAGCAGCACTGTCATGTGCATTGACGTTCTGTTAATCTTTTCAGCAAACCGTCTCGTACTACAACATACAAGCTAAACAGTGCAACGGTCACGGCACCAATGCAAGTCTTTATGAACAGTTCGCGCTACTAGAACGTGGGCACCAGTCCCCAGTCGCAGGACGACTGTCTCTACTGTGATATAATCCCTTCCAGAGGCTTGAGACCAAACTCTACTGTGACATAATGCCTTCCAGAGGCGTGAGACCTGTCTCTACTGTGATATAATCCCTTCCAGAGGCTTGAGACCAAACTCTACTGTGACATAATGCCTTCCAGAGGCGTGAGACCTGTCTCTACTGTGATATAATCCCTTCCAGAGGCTTGAGACCTATCTCTACTGTGATATAATCCCTTCCAGAGGCGTGAGACCTGTCTCTACTATGATCTGGAGCACATTGACATAGTAATGAAGATTTTAAACTCCGAATACCACAGCAAGCATTTGTTTTTGTTTAAGCATTTCGTTTATGTAGACTTTCATCCTACTTGCATCTCCACATTGGGGGTGGATGTGTGCATGTGTAGATGTGTGGATGGGTAGATGTTTGGATATGAGGATGTGTGGATATGTGGATATGTGGATGTGTGGATAGAGCGTTTCTTATTTTTCTGTTGATCGTATCTTCTTTTTCTATATATTAAGGGCCCACGATCAATTTATTGATCATTTTGGCTCCTACGCATGTAGGGGGGTTTGCAATGTTTCTGTTCCTGATGTTGTTGAGGATATTTTACTTGGCTGCAAGGGCAACTTTGTGAGGGTATCATGCACTGGGTGTTGGAAGGCCTGAGGCAATGGACGCAAATGTGTCAAGTGTTGTCGCCTCAACTGTCCCTTTTGAAAGATTGTTCCAGTCCCTGATTGTCTTGGGCAGGAATGAGCAGTTTCTATACTGGCTTCTTGCTGGTATGAGCCGGAACGGCCTGTCGTGGCCTCGTCGCTGTCTATGGGGGAGAGGGATGAGTTTCTGTTTAACACTGGAACAGTGGACCAGCCCATTATTTATTTTGTACATCATGGGGAGCCTGGATTGTCGTCGTCGTTCCTCCAATGGTGACCAGCCCAGTGTTTCCAGCATGTTGCCAACACTAGAGGTATTCCTGTAGCGGTTTAGGACAAAGCGTGCTGCTCGTCGCTGGACCGCCTCCAATCTGTCAATGCTCTTCTGGGTAAATGGGTCGCAGTATGAAGATGCTTCATCTAAAACCAGACAGACAAAGACTTTATAGGCTCTTTCTTTCAAACAGGAGTTGCCAATCTTGAGATTACGCCTTAAGAACCCCAGGGTCTTGTTTGCCTGGTTGCACCCATTGTTCATTTGCTCGTCCCAAGAACCATGTTTATGAAAGACTTTCTTTCCACTTGCATTTCCATCTTGTGGATATGTGGATGTGTGGATTCGCTTTCTCTTGCAAAAATCACGAGATAGATGCTGGTAGTCTCGTCGCAACCGAGCTGTGTCAACATCGCGTCTACTCCTGTGTCGGTGGGGTGGAGACGGATGGACACTGTCACTCAAATTATCGTGGTCGACTGCATCTGCTTCTATGCTGAAGGAATGCGTGGGTGAGGTGAGAACAACTTTTAAAAAAACGCTTTCATGCGTAGATAAAGTGTTAAATTCATTTCAATCGGGATTGTGCAACATTAGACGTTTAAAAATGACAATAATTCTACTTGTGTCGATGATTTCCAGATCACTATTTTAACACTAAAACGAAGAAAATAATCTTTAAAATTTCGCAAAGTAAGTTTTTGCATAAAATTGTTTTACAGTTTCGTCGACATTCAATTTGAATCCTTTAGCCACAGGATCTTTCTAGTGTGTACATGCTGAACTTAGTGACCTGATTGTCCTGCCTTGTCTGTTGTTAATCCTGCCACACCCAATTTGTATCTTGTTTAAACAACAAGTCCGGGTCGCAGTTAGGTCTGACCAATTTGGGGATACATTTTCTAAGATAATGTATCATTCTTAAAAGCCTTTTGAAATATTTGCATCTTGAGGGACATGGCATGGAGTGTATTGCTTCAGTTTTAGAGTAACTGGTTTGATTCCGTCATCTGTAATGACGTATCCTAAGAATTTACAGCGATATTGCTACAAAATTAATAGAAGAGCTGAAGTTATAGCAAGACAAGACTTGTTACGCTATAAAGATATTTTTTTAAAAATAGGAATGGTTGAAGTGCTGGGAAAAGCGGATAAAAAGCCCGAAAGCTTTACCGGAACTTGCCACACCCATAAAATGGGATCATTGGCAGAGACTAAAACGTGGTCACCAGACCCTCATCACCTGAGCCTCATCACCAGTGACACATCACCAGAGCCTCAACACCAGAGCTTCATCATCAGAGCCTCATCACCAGAGCCTCAACACCATAGCCTCAACACCAGAGCCGCATTACAAGAGCCTCATCACCAGAGACACATCACCAGAGCTTCATCACCAGAGCCTCATCACCTGAGCCTCATCACCAGTGACACATCACCAGAGTTTTATCACCAGAGCCTCAACACCAGAGCCTCAACACCAGAGCTGCATTACAAGAGCCTCATCAGACATCTGCGACTACAAAAACATAAAAACATCTACACAAGATTGAACATTCAAACATCTACACAAGAATACGGACAATCAACACAAAATTCAAATTGTTTTCAATTCTCAAACTCCCTTTTTATTGATTTCAATATTTGTTTAAACTCTTCACATTTCAAGAAAGTGAATGGACATTTTTAAATCTTTTTCTTATCATGATTTCACGAAATAATTAACAAAAGAAGAATAAAATAAATTATAAAATGAACAATGGACATTAATTTTTTTTTTTAAATATAATGTACATCATCATCATTGTACACCATCATCATTGTACACCATAATCATTGTACACATCATCGTATCTTCTTTTTTAACGTTGAATTTCTTTCTTAGTGTGCGTCATTTTAGATAAGGATCATCGTCCACTGCTGTCAATTAGCGACAACTTGAGTTGACCCAACGACCGAAACACAACCACTTTCAACAGGGTAAATATTAGCAAATTTTTTTTTAAAAAGGCCATTATTGGAGTTCGGTGGGTTTTAGTTAAGCCTTGTGATGCCCCAATCGGTTATTCTAATGTCCTCAGTAAACCTTACACGTTTCTTATCTAGCTAAAAAAAGGAATATTCAAAAAAGTCGTTTGAACATTGAAGTGTAATACATTCCCCCCCCCCCCTTTTAATTTTATTAGCGTTCCAACGCATACAGAGTTAATAGAATAATAAGATTATCATAAAAGATAAAAAGTAATTAAAAATATTAGTAAATTTTTTTTTAAAAAGGCCATTATTTGGGTTCGGTGGGTTTTAGTTAAGCCTTGTGATGCCCCCAATGGTTATTCTAAAGTCCTCATTAAACCTTACACGTTTCTTATCTAGCTAAAAAAAGGAATATTCAAAAAAGTCGTTTGAACATTGAAGTGTAATACATTCCCCCCCCCCCTTTTAATTTTATTAGCGTTCCAACGCATACAGAGTTAATAGAATAATAAGATTATCATAAAAGATAAAGAGTAATTAAGTACATTTCAAATATAAAGATAACTAAAGTAGCGTTTAAAAGATGAAAAGTAATTGATGTTCCTTAATCTCCTTTGTCATGGGTTATGGTGTAAATTGTGACACTTGGCTTTGTCATAGTTTTTGGTGCATATTGTGTCACTTGCCTTTGTCATAGGTTATGTTGTAAATGGTGTCACTTGCCTTTGTCATAAGTTATAGTGTAAATGGTGTCACTTGCCTTTGTCATAGGTTATATTGTAAATGGTGCCACTTGCCTTTGTCATAGATTATAGTGTAAATGGTGTCACTCACCTTTGTCATAGGCTATAGTGTAAATGGTGTAAATGGTGCCACTTGCCTTTGTCATAGGTTATATTGTAAATGGTGTCACTTGACTTTGTCATAGATTCTAGTGTAAAAGCTGTAAATGGTGTCACTTGACTTTGTCATAGGTTATAGAGTAAATGGTGTCACTTGACTTTGTCATAGGTTATAAAGTAAATGGTGTCAATCGCCTTTATTTAACTGGAGTTTCAGTCTTTTGATGTCCACCTATTGTTACTGATAGCGTAGATAGAAATACAAATTATTAAATAAAAATGTTTAAGTTGATCTTTCTCCGGGGCTATGTGTGTCGGGGCTGTGTGTGTCTGGGCTATGTGTGTCGGGGTTATGTGTGTCGGGGCTATGTGTGTCGGGGATATGTGTGTCTGGGCTATGTGTGTCGGGGCTGTGTGTGTCGGGGATGTGTGTGTCGGGGATGTGTGTGTCGGGGATATGTGTGTCGGGGATATGTGTGTCGGGGCATGTGTGTCGGGGCTATGTGTGTCGGGGCTATGTGTGTCTGGGCTTTGTGTGTCTGGGCTTTGTGTGTCTGGGCTATGTGTGTCGGGGCTATGTGTGTCGGGGCTATGTGTGTCTGGGCTTTGTGTGTCTGGGCTATGTGTGTCTGGACTATGTGTGTCGGGGCTATGTGTATCGGGGCTATGTGTGTCGGGGCTATGTGTGTCGGGGCTATGTGTGTCTGGGCTATGTGTGTCGGGGCTATTTGTGTCTGGGGTCATTTGTTTCGGGGCAATTTCAATCCACTAAGCCTCGTTTGAAGGTAAAATGACGCATTTGAATAAAATTAACCAATGGGGACAGGAGGCCAAGGTCGTGTTCCTTAATGTTTTTTTTTTTCAAACGAAGTTATCTTTCCATTTCTGTTTGATGTTGGGTGGGCGGATCCGTCTCTGTCAGCAGACGATGTCTCAACATTTCCATATTTATGTCTCAACTACTAGAACCTTATACGTTGATCTTGTAAGGGTGGAAAAAGGGGGGGGGGGGGGGGAAGGTACCGATTAACCTGCTGGCTGATGTGTCATACATATATGTCTCAACTACTAGAACCTTATACGTTGATCTTGTAAGGGTGGAAAAAGGGGGGGGGGGGTGGAAGGTACCGATTAACCTGCTGGCTGATGTGTCATACATCATGACGATGGTTAACTTGATTTGATTGGCCCATCAGCGTGGGTGGTTCCTATTTTTAGAATGGATCACGTGGTCATCTTCTTTCGATTAACGCAAGGGTCCTCGCGCATTAGATCGCGTAAAAATATACATTACCATGTTAATTGCTGTGCTATATTAAGCATATTTATAGAGATACACGGATATAGAAGTAGCCTTTATAAATATTCATATGTTTCGAGAACCTGAATTAAAGTGCTGACGGCGGACCTGTTTTGTTTTTTGTGTTTCTTTTCACGCCAAGAAGTTTTCAAATCCAACATTTAGATATTAAACTTTCCAGATCGTGGTTTGAAAACACCGCTTTGACCTATGACCTCTCCGGACGTCCATTCGTCACTGTGACAAGTTGTTCAAGGTGCCTGATAATGAGATCATATTCATCCCTTCCAGCCCACCCCCTTACCCAGGTGACGGAAAAAAAAAGAACGCTTATTTTTGTAAAGCCTACGATATATTCCAATGTTAACTTTCAATATATGTTAACTTCCGTTACACATTAGTTAAATAGATTAACACGTGTGATTGGTTAGTTGCGAAGAAAAGCTTTGTGATAAATTGCGAACGCACAGTCTCTAAAAAAACATTTCTATGTGTCATTATCATGGATGTAAATGTTTTGTTCTTCTACTTCATACAAGCCCCCGTATTTATAATTGTAATAAATATCCGTCGACCTAATGTGACACCCCGTTATATCGAAGTGCTGACACCCTTGGTCGCAGCCTTGTCACTATTTTTAGACGTCGCGTGGTTTTGTACTTCCGATTCATTGCTGCTGCGCGATTCAGCAGATGTTTGGGCTGGGTGCTCTTCGTCTGCTGAGCCATTCCGTTTCCAACCATGTACATTGAACCCACCAAGTGAATCTAACGCCCTTTTTTCATCATCCCGTTTCCAACCATGTACATTGAACCCACCCAAAGAATCTAATGCCCTTTTGTCATCATCCCGTTTCCAACCATGTACATTGAACCCACCCAAAGAATCTAATGCCCTTTTGTCATCATCCCGTTTCCAACCATGTACATTAAACCCACCCAAAGAATCTAACGCCCTTTTGTCGTCGTCCCGTTTCCAACCATGTACATTGAACCCACCCAAAGAATCTAACGCCCTTTTGTCGTCGTCCCGTTTCCAACCATGTACATTGAACCCACCCAAAGAATCTAACGCCCTTTTGTCATCATCTCGTTTCCAACCATGTACATTGAACCCACCCAAAGAATCTAACGCCCTTTTGTCATCATCCCGTTTCCAACCATGCACATTGAACCCACCCAAAGAATCTAACGCCCTTTTGTCGTCGTCCCTTTTCCAACCATGTACATTGAACCCACCCAAAGAATCTAACGCTCTTTTGTCGTCGTCCCGTTTCCAACCATGTACATTAAAACCCCCAAGTGAATCTAACGCCCTTTTGTCGTCGTCCCGTTTCCAACCATGCACATTGAATCCACCTAAGGAATCTAATGCTCTTTTGTCGTCGTCCCGTTTCCAACCATGTACATTAAAACCCCCAAGTGAATCTAACGCCCTTTTGTCGTCGTCCCGTTTCCAACCATGTACATTGAAACCACCCAAAGAATCTAACGCCCTTTTGTCGTCTTCCCGTTTCCAACCATGTACATTGAACCCACCCAAAGAATCTAACGCCCTTTTGTCGTCGTCCCGTTTCCAACCATGTACATTGAACCCACCCAAAGAATCTAACGCCCTTTTGTCGTCGTCCCGTTTCCAACCATGTACATTGAACCCACCTAAAGAATCTAACGCCCTTTTGTCGTCGTCCCGTTTCCAACCATGTACATTGAACCCACCCAAAGAATCTAACGCCCTTTTGTCGTCGTCCCGTTTCCAACCATGTACATTAAAACCCCCAAGTGAATCTAACGCCCTTTTGTCGTCGTCCCGTTTCCAACCATGTACATTGAAACCACCTAAAGAATCTAACGCTCTTTTGTCGTCGTCCCGTTTCCAACCATGTACATTAAAACCCCCAAGTGAATCTAACGCTCTTTTGTCATCGTCCCGTTTCCAACCATGCACATTGAATCCACCTAAAGAATCTAACGCCCTTTTGTCATCGTCCCGTTTCCAACCATGCACATTGAATCCACCAAGTGAATCTAACGCCCTCTTCTCGGTTTTATTCTGCTTATCAGAGTTCTCCGTGGAATCCAGTGCCCTTTTTGCCCTTCGGGCAAAACCTAATTGGTCAAACTCTTCATAATTGTTCTGAGGCTCATCCTCATAGCTCTCATGTCGCCTGCCCCTTTTCCAACCCTGAACGTTGAAGCCGCCCAGTGAATCCAACGCCCTTTTCCAACCGTGAACGTTGAAGCCGCCCAGAGAATCCAACGCCCTTTTCCAACCGTGAACGTTGAAGCCGCCCAGTGAATCCAACGCCCTTTTCCATCCGTGCACCTGAAATCCGCCCAAGCTGTCTAAGGCACGTTTGTCTTCCTTAGTCTCACCCCCGGGGATGGCGCCCTCCCAATCCCACTCTGGGACATCTGATCTTGTATTCACGGCGTGTCTGAATCCAGCCTCATCAGCCTGCAGGAGAGACTCTAGCGCCTGGCTGTCGACCAAACGACTAAAATCGCTGTCACCAACACTTCGCTTCTTGAAGCCGTGAACTTCGTAACCCCCGAGGGTGTCGAAGAATCGTTTCCCCTTCTCCGGCTCATCGCTGAACAGCCCCGTGTAGGCGCCGCGCCACGGGCTGGCTCCGCGGAAGTTTCTGTACCAATCGGCTCGTCTCAGCGGCACAACTTCCGCCGGAACGAGATCGGTGAAGATGGTCTTGGATTCGTAAGTGTTTAGCTTGTCCAGAGCGTCCGGCTGGTACGGCCTCAAGTATGGAACTCGCTTGCCGTAGTGGGGCCGGTTCCTGGTGCGACCCGCCGGGAGGTTTCCGGCAAGGTTGAGCAGCCTCATCAGTTCAGCTGACGGTTGGTGGCTCGATTGGTACTGAAATGTAAAATTTAAAGAAAAATGTGAAAAAGGTTGAAAATATTAAAAATATAAATTTGGAATGGAGTTTTAACAAAAGAATCATTTAGCAAGTCTATTTCTTGTTCCAAATATTTAATAATTGCAACAACGACGACAACAACAACAGACAAAAAAATAAATAAAAATAAAGAAGTGTTGTCAAAGTTAACTGAGTGTTCAGGTAGCAGAGCACATTTACTTCAGATTTTATCTTTAACAAGAAAAAAAAGTTATTGTTTCATCCATCAATGCTGCTGTACAAGAAATGCCTGGCTATCATTGAATACAACAAAACGCCAAGACTATAGCTGGGAACAAAAATTTGTTGTTTCTTTCATCAATGCTGCTGTACAAGAAATGCCTGGCTATCATTGAATACAACAAAACGCCAAGAATATAGCGGGTAAAAAAAGTTTTTCTCTACACCAGGCCTGCACAACATAAGGCCCGCGGGCCGCATGTGGCCCGCCAGCACCTACTTTTCGGCCCGCGAAGTAACGAAATATTTTTTATTATTATTATTTTCTTAATAGCTTTCTCCATGTCCTATCATCTTTCGGCCCGCACAAGCTTTTCATAAAGTATTACCGCCCACCTTACATTTTGAGTTTTGCGGGCCTGCTCTACACCATGTTATTCAAAAATAAAAAAAGTCTCTTTATTTCATTCTAAAAACAATGTGGCCTCACTTTAGACATCATTGTTCCGACAGAAGATAACTTAACGTACGTCTTATAACACTGGTGACGACACGCTACAACACAACGAGGATTTTGTTGTTTAACGTGCACATTAAGAACAACTCTTTTGTACCACTTTAACTCTATTGAATTACCAACAAGTCTAATGTGTTACCCTCACCTAAATTGTATTACCCTCAACTCTAATGTATTACCCAAAATCTATAATATCACCCAAAAGTCTAGTGTATTACCCTAAATCTATTGTATTACCCCGAATCTATAGCATCTACCTCGTTTAGCATCTACCTCGTTTAGCATCGTCTCGTGTCTCGGGTGTGGGCGAAGTATTGGATATCTCTTTGGGGCCATCTTTAACTTTTCTCGTGTGAGGGCGAAGTATACGAAACCTCTGCGGAGCAATCTTTAGCGTTTACCAAACAAGATCTGAGAGCCTTTGAATCCAGTGGCGTGGCTAGGGTAAGTGCCGCCATGGGCGTGCCAAGACTTTTGCCATCAGAGGAAAAACAACAACCAATCTCTGCAGTTAGCCCAGATTGTCACCCCTGCATATGAAGAACAAAAATGCCGTCCAAGGCGTATCTTCCATACGCCCCACCCCCCCTCCTTTAATTGATCACTGGTTAAATGGGATTACCTAAAAAAGAAAAGATGCTTCTTAAAACGTATACCATGACACTTGTTGTAACATTAGCTAACATTATACAATAATGCAATACCGATTAATAGATGAAAAACAAAATTAATAAAAAGCAAAAGGCTATGACCCTTCTCATTAGCATAATGGAGATCAGAGCAAACGACCCCGAGGAAAATGACGCCCCCCCCCCCCAATCCCGTCTTCACGATGGTCGCCCCCTTTCTTTAATTTTTGAACCAATCGCTTTTTACGACAATGACTTTCCCTGGCCGATAAAACGTATACCATGACACTTGTTGTAACAATAGCTAACATTATACAATAATGCAATACCGATTAATAGATGAAAAAAAAAATTAATAAAAAGCAAAAGGCTATGACCCTTCTCATTAGCATAATGGAGATCAGAGCAAACGACCCCGAGGAAAATGACGCCCCCCCCCCCCAATCCCGTCTTCACGATGATCGCCCCCTTTCTTTAATTTATGAACCAATCGCTTTTTACGACAATGACCTTCCCTGGCCGGCAGTGGTCACACGTCATCATTGTTGTCAAGGGTTCTGACGTTCAAAGCGGGCCCCAGCGTTAGGGCAGCCGAAAGGTCCAAATGGGATTATTCTGGTCTCCCATAATTCCGTGGGATAAAATATGCTTTATGATTGGGCGGAACTGGAAGATGAATAACAAAATGGCGATCATCGGAAGTGTAATTGAAAATCTAGACACCATGAGTCATAAAGATGGGGGGTAGGGTGACGGGGGGGGAGGGGGTTATCTGTTTTTTTAAAGTCAAATTGAAATGGAAAACAGAGAAAGCGGGGTCGGTGGAGGGGAGGTGTCAGTGGAGGGGAGGGGTTGGTGGAGGGGAGGGGTCAGTGGAGAGGGGTTGGTGGAGGGGAGGGGGTCAGTGGAGGGGATTGGTCGATGGAGGGGAGGGGGTTGTAAGAAGTTCATTTGGCAAATGGGGAGATGGTCACAAAAAAGCTTCACCCGAATGGTCCATAAACCGTCAGGTATCCTATTAAGCGAAGATTGAATCAAAATGTGAGATCCATCGCATGAGTGGACTCGTCAGACGGGCACAAAACAAAGTCTTTTAAACAAAATAAGAAAATTTTTATTTTAAAATTTTCAACTTTCGAGGACAAGAATTTGACGTGACTACATGATTACATCATTGAAGTTGTCGTTAATTCAGCTTCACGTTTACACATTACTTCGAAATCAGCGCATGAATACGAAAATTTACTCAGGGTGGATAACACGTGGTCACACCGGAACTTCTTTTATCAAGTCATTCAGAATGTACGAAAGAAAAAAGGAATGAGTGCTTTGGGGGGGGGGGGGGGTCACAGATACTCAAAAAAAAAACGTAATAATATGTAAAAACAGATGGCAGCTCTGCCCTCTCCTTCGTCCACCCCCCCCCCCCAACACACACAATGCAACTATACTCTTACCACCAGTTTAGACACTCTGTCAACGAATTGAATGTCATTTGAAATGCTTGAGTATTACCCAAAATCAATTTCAGATTGAAATCGGCGGCAGGTTGTGTTGTTGTTTTTTTTTGTTTGTTGAGGAGGAAAGGGGGGGGGGCCGGTACACAAACGGAAGTATACAATAGCCCCTTAAATCGGAAATAACGTCAAAGGCTCTCAAACCATTGACATTCATTCGCAGATTGAGCTCCATTTTTTGGTTTAAAAAGGAGAAATCTCGAGGTTTAATTTCAAACACTTCAAATATCGAA